ACACACACACACACACACACACACACACACACAAACACGGTGCTTCATTGCAAAGTTGCATCCAGCTAGTTAAAACAGCTGTATGAATACCACTAGGGCCAACTCTGCTGGACATTTTGGTGGGCCACCCAGAGAGAGACATTGCAAATGCCCACGAATATTCCAGAGGAGTAGGATAATGGGTCTGATCCAGACTGGTAAGGGCTGCATCTCTACCCTGCACAGGCCCGGAGCCCCGCCTTCTCCTGGGTGTTTTCCCCTTTCCCGCGGCGGCTTGGCCGGCAGACTTGCATTGTCTCCAGAGGCAGCTTGCAGATCAAAGTGGGTCCCTGAGAGAGCACCGCCTCTGCCCCCAGACACAGTCCTTTCTGAGAAATTCCCGGCGCACTGTGGAGGCCCGGGGCAGGAGCACGCGGTGTGGACGTCCTCGCGCTGATGTAATGATGATGGATGCGGCGGCGACACTGCGGCACTTCTAATGAATTGGCCTCTCGGAGCGGGGCGCGGGGAGCAGCCAGGACGCAGGCGCAGGGAAGAGTGCTGAAGGGTGTGAAAAACGTGTCTTGCACCGGCCTGAAATGCCGGGACAGGAAAGCTTGGAGTGGGACAGCTTTCAGGCCACGTGGACTAGAGCCACGCAGCCTGACCAACATCATGATCGTAATAAATGGGTCACTTCTTTCCTTTGTGAAGATGAAAGTTCCCCTTTTGGACTGTGTATCCTTCCCCCATCGCCTCTCTAAGTAGCAGCCCCCAAAAGAAGGATTTGAGGCTATTGAAAATGTAGGTCCCCCTTAGGAATCCTCCAATTTGGTAAATACTGTATTGCCCCCCTCCCCCACTCCCTCGCTCACTTTCAGATGCGACTCAGTGCTGTACCCTCACTTGGTCAGCGGCTCCAGGAAGCTTTCTGTACTCTGTTTTATAGGAGGTTGGTGCAGGTTCAGATTTATAATTTAGAAAGAAAAGACCCACCTGCAGGCAGGTTGCTATAGGGAGAGAGATTAGATTTAAAGAGAGTCGAATTAATTGTGCACTGGGTTTTGGCCGCGGGAAAATCACTAAAGGTTTAGAGGTAGTTGAATGGGGAAAGCCTGTGCTGTTTTCTGGAAGGAATATTCATTCCTTCCCTTTTACCTGTGTGTGAAACCTCAAGCCTTAGAAAGCCACGTAGCAAGAAAGCAGTTTTCCTTGTTTTTGTTTGTTTTTCTTCCCCAAGTACTCAGGCTGCTGGGACTCAAACTCAAGGAGCACATCAGCACATCTTGCATGTAATGTTTCAGCAGTGAAGGGATTCAAGGGGGACAGTATGGCATTTTAAGGAAGGAAACTGTATCGATGGGGGAAAAAGTCTCATTTTGCTCACATCCAAAAAGCAGTGGCAAGTTTTCCTCAGAGAAAAGTCCTTGAAGTGAAGCAGAAGTTAAAATTTTTCCTTGTGACCGAAGTTCTAAATAAGTCAGATGTTATTATTTCCCAAACCCCTGCACTCTAGGGCTCCTGTACTTTAGGGGCGGGGACTCCATGAGGAATGTTTGCTGGTCAGTTCTGACCTAGGGCTTTAACGATCAGCTCTCTTCTGAGTTTCAAACCCTCTTCCTGTCCTGTGAAACCTGTCACCTCAGCTAGAAGCAGCCACCCCTTTCTGCCCTGTGGTTCTTCCTGCACAACTTGATGGGGTATGGGTGTCCAGAATGTTAAACCTTTCTCGATAATTGGCAGGGACAAATTTATGTTTTATCGGTAAAATAAGCTGATAGAAATCATAGGGATATACCGGAAGCAGATGTCTGCGTTGGCAGGTTGCCATTTTTATAACCACGTTCTACTATCAACCACACTTTTAAATAATTAGTTACTAACTAATGAGATCCAAAAATAAGTTGTCAAAAAGAAGAAGAGGGTAGACTCTTTGGTGACCAAGGGCCTACTTTTTTTTAAAAATCCATTTCATAGAGGGGTAAGAATTAGTATTCACTAAGACTACTAATTAATGCGATTGCAGGCAGCGCCTGGAGCTTTACCTCTTCTTGTTGAAGCCTTTCCCTACTCACATGACTTTGGGAGGGTTGCATTGCTTTCTTACAGTGAAGTCCTTTGCCTTGGGGGAAAACCCAACAACTCTACAAAACCCGAATTTGTCAAGGAACTTCTGTGACTTGTCTTTTGACTACTGTTAATTAGTTTCCTCTGCTAAAAAGAAGACTTAGTTTTCACTAGGAATCTCATCTCTTAATGAGATTTTCTGGTGCATTTGTATGCTTCTGTGTGAAGTTTTAACTTAACCAGCTACCCAAATTCAACTGGTAAATGCTACCCAGATACATAAAACTGGATAGTATAGTAAGTGCCTATTTATTTCAAGTGGTTAAAAATGGAGTGTTTTGGTTAAGTATTCCTTTTAATTTTTGTTTTTGTTTTTGGTGGTGCTGGGAATTGAACCCAGGGCCTTCATATTGAGCTATATCCCCAGCCCATTTTTAATTTTGAGACAAAGTCTTGCTAAATTGCCCAGGCTGGGATTTAAAACTTGCAGTCCTCCTGCCTTGGTTCCCCAGAGTGCTAGGATTATAGCTAAGTACCACCACACCTGGCCAAAAGATTTAGTTTTTATATACTTTGCCAGTTTTCAGAGAAAATCCAAATATAAAATATAATGTATGTAGATAACTCAGTAGGCCTAAAACTCAAGACACTGTAGACTCATAGAGCCACAGGGTCCTGGATGTAATAGATTATTTTCTCAGTCACAGCCTTCTGTGTACTAGTTGCTGGGAAGAAAGAAATCTTGTCCACAGTCTGGAGCGGGGGATGGAAGTTCAGTGAAGACCTATCTAGATGAAGACCTGACTATCCTTGTGGTGGATGCTGAGGGAAATTTGGGAAGGCTGTGAATTCATTATTTTGGAGTGCACTTTATTCATTAGTCTATCCAGTCAACACAGACGTCCATGAGACCCTCCTGCCTGGTATATAGTAGTGAGCAAAACCTAACAAACATAGAACAGTTGTTGGAAAGCGTTAGCAAGCCTGGCAATGAGTACTGCTTATTAAAATACAGGTTCCCAGGTGCCACTCCCGGAACATAAGCATGGCCTCAGAAATTTGACTCAGGAGCCAGAATGCCTAGCAAGCAGGCACTCAAGCACCCCTGGTCCCAGTGGTTCCCAGGCCACTCTGAGAAAGTGATGTGGAGTCATTGTGTTCTTGTGGCATATCACAAGAGTTACTTAAAGCAGCGTTGGGGAGCATTAAAAACCAGGTCCCTCCTGAGATTTTTTTAAGCTTTATCTGGATTCATGGAAAAGCTTTGGAGGGTCTGTGATCTGCCAGAAATTAAATGTACATTTTGGTGTTTAAGGTTGTTTTCTGGAAGAAGGTCCATCAATTCGCACGCATTCTGAAAGAGGATGCACTCTCCCTCCTTCATTGTGAAGGATTAAACGCTACTGTCTGATTCTGTCATTTGACGATAGTGCATGGGAGGCTCGGCAACAGGTCGCCTGAGTTAGTGTGCTGGACAGCTCCAGGGCCACTGTTCAGGTGGCCCTGGTCTGGGGTTGGACACACTTCCAGCCCTGCTAAGGACATCTGCATTCTTCTCCCTTTGTCAATGCCTTTAAGGGATGTTTCTGAATTTGGAGTGGATCTTACAATTGATATGTAAATTTTACTTGGTGCTTTTTCTTTCTTTTTATTCCCCAAAAGCTGTTCTTAAATAACTTGTGTGTTTTACACTGAATGACACTGGATAATCTCAGAAAAGAATTGGAAGTTAGTGGAAAGGCTGATGCCCACATTACCATGCGACTTTTGTTTCTTAAGACTTCTGTTTACTTGAAATCCAGGTCAAGGGGAGTTTATTGTACCTTAAAGAATTTGCAGTTCCCTTGCAAATAGAAGTTAAAGGTGACTAAACTTATTTCATCTGGTATTTTAACTCTTTTAGCTGGTGAAGCAGTTGCTTGCTTATCTTATTTTAGGAATCATTGTTTTTATTGAATACTACAGAATCTACTAAATGCCAAAAAATGAGTAGTTAAGATCCATAAAATGCCCAACATGGTGTTGCAATCTAGATAGCTTGAAGAAAATATGCCAGAGAGGGGACTGTTCATCTTTTCTTGTATTCTTTGTAGGTGTAGAACAGGACTGTAGAAAGGAACATGGACTAAAAAGAGTGAAAATTGATGAATGACGAGTTAGGGCGATTATCCCATGAATGAAGCCAGTGAAAGATGGGCGGACTGAGCTTGCCTTTAGTGGAGTTTTCAGGTTTCCTTAGTGACCCCTGCCTTTGCTGTTGGTGATCTTTCCTGGCTTTTCCTTGTGGAATTGGAGGCACGTTATTCTATTACCTTGTTTCAGAAATGGAACCCACATAAATTGAAGGGTTTGCCTGTTTTAAAATACGGTTTACCTGAATGACTTTGGATGAAGAAGCATATTGCAGCTCAGATATCTTAGTGAAAGAAGCAAACATCATTGGTTGCTTAGCTTAAGTTATTCCCTAATTCAGAACTTTGAGTAAAAGGAGTGGATGTGAGTGATTGTGGAATGCTCTTTGAAATGTCTAAGCAAAACCACTTCTCTGTTTTAGAAGTTTTCCTAATGTCCCTTCCTATACAGTTGGCTACCCAAAGAGATAGTTGAACACGTGGGTTAAAAGATTAATGTGACACTTGGGTTTCACATTATGGATGAAGTTGAGAATGGAGGTATTTGGACCATTTGATGGCCTGTGCCTCGGCAGAACTTAGGAAAATGTCCACATTATAGAATTCAGCTGTTTTCCTTTTGGGTGTGTGGGTAACATTTGCCTGGCTGGTTAATACATCTTGGAGACTTTTTCTTTTCCCATAAAACCTGTGGAGAAACATGGTTGAGATTTGAATTTTTGCTGAAACTTTGGTCTCTTACTTGACCGGCATAGGGGCTTCTGGGTGAGGTCATCTTTTCCTACTCTTACTGGAAGTTGATGGTGCTGTGGTGTTTTGTAGGTGTTCCCCCTAGAAAAGAGCTGAAGTAATGAGAAGACACCATGGAGGCTCAGTCCCACAACTCCTCTGCAACCACTGAGAAGAAGAAAGTTGAGAATTCCATTGTGAAATGCTCCTCCAGAACAGATGTTAGCGAGAAAGCGGTGGCCTCCAGCACTACTTCCAACGGTGAGCAGCCACCCCACAGCCAAAACTGCAGTTATCTTTACATCCCCCGCCTTCCTTAGGAATTGAGGTTTCCTCCCTGGACCAGTGCTTGTTCTAGGAGAGGCTGAGGGAAACACATGGGGCCGAGGATGAAGGGGGCTGCGGAATGGGCAGTCTTCAGTAATCTCCATTTTGGCACTAAACCTACACGTTTTCTTCCAGATTTTCTAATTTGAGATGTAAATGTGATAGGTTATTTATTATAGGAAGTTCCTGTTTTGGCATTTTAGAAATCAACTTGATTAGTCTGGCAAGAGTTCAAAATGCTTTGCATTTCACACGGAAGTTCTATACTCTTTGGAATAATTAGCTTTTACAAAAGATGCACAAGTTGTCTTTGTTAAAATTAGTGGCAAAGCTCCTCCCCCCAAGCTTTAGGTAGTCTGCTCTAAAAGATTTTAAAATATAACAGCTGAACCCTACGGTAGCATTAGGATCTGAGATTGGTTTCATGGTTAGCTTACACAAATTGAATTTACTTAATTGTTTTCAGAGACAACATAGACTTTCCTTTTCTATGTGCTGCATTTGTACATTCTAAGCAATGTACAGAGGCATTTTGGTTCGAGAATGGGGTAGTAGTCAGTTCCAGAGCCCCCGGTGGTATAAACAGACTGGATGAGTTAGTGGTAACCTTTGTGTCTTTGCTGGGAGACGGTTAGTGCCTTTGACTTTTGTAGCTTGCACAGCCATCCTGGCCTCCCCAGCTTTCAGTCCACTTTTTCCACCATCCAGCTGGCTAGTTCTTGAGTGCTGTGTGGCTGGGCTCACTGATTTGCATGAGCCAACCTGCTCCCTTCCTCCTCTCTCCCCATGGGCTTATCATTTATTTATTCAAGGAAAGGTTGTACTAGGACGATTTACAGCTTTCTTAAATGTAGAGTTGGAGACTTGAAATCGGCTTTGCAGGGGAGTTGCAGCCCAGAACTTTGGCCTCAGAAGGCAGGGATTCTTGAGGAGTCTGGGTGCCCCTCTGTGACCGCCCACACCTGCCCAGTCTGTCCTTCTGGCTGCCCTCCCCCGCTGATGTCATGAGCGGTGATCCTGGCTGTGGCAGCCAGAGAGGGACCTGGCTGTCAGATCTGCTGGCTGATGAGTCCAGATTGGCGTTTGTCCTTAGGGAGATAGATTTATGTTTGGGTTGAAATAGTGAGTTTACATATAAGTATGCAAAAATGTATCTGCATTACTCTGTTTGTGGTATTTCAACTCAAATATGAAAGTCAATGTGGTGGCTCATGCCTGTCATCCCACCACTCTGGGAGGCTAAGGCAGGAGGATCACAGGTTCAAGACTAGCCTGAGCAACTTAACAAGACCCTTTCTCAAAATAAAATAAAAGGGTCTGGGGATATAGCTCAGTGTGAAGGCCCTGGGTTCAGTCCCTACCACTGCAAAAACAAACCACCCTCAGCACCAGAGCCAGAATATTTCCATTATTTTTCCAATGTGGTCACAGGAGGTGTATTTTCCCTTAAAAAAAACATGTCATCGTGGTTTCTTTTTTCTGAAATTTGTGAAAATTAAGCCAATTTATTGCGTTGGAAGTAGAATCAATGCATGCAGTATTGGTTATTTGGTCATTTTCATAGTAATTTTGCAAGAATAAGTGCTTTCTGCACATTACGTTGGAGGCAACATCAACTTTGGGCTGTCTTTAGGGTGTGTGTGAGCAGGTGTGTGAGAGCATGTGAGCATGTATGTGTGGTGTGTTGGGAATATGTGTGTGTGTGTGGGTGTGCGAGGGAGGGAGGAAGCCAGAACCGTGCTGCTGGGAGAAGGTGCCACTGTAACATGTGGAGTCGGCAGAAGCCCCATTCTAGCCACCAACTTGCAGTCACCCCCTCCTCCTTCCTTAGGAGGGTGCGGCTGCCACCCCAGGACTTGTGCCTAGGGGGTTTGCTACTCTTGCTCTGGGTCCTGAGCCACCCTCTGACCTCAGGACCCCTTAGGACAGTGTGAAGGGTGACTGGGAACAGAATTAACCTGACCAAGTGGAGCAGTGATCAGGAATCCTGGAGAGAAAATGAGCCAAAGAAGGAGCAGTTGTTATTTACAAAAGTTAATCCTACAATGGCATGAGTGTGGAGGCCCCCATCTGCCATCCTAGCACTCTGGGAAGCTAAGGCAAGTTCGAGCCCAGCCCGGGCAACTTAATGACTTAGAGAGACCCTGACTCAAGATAAAATACAGAAAAGACTGAGGATGGAGCCCTGTACGAAGGCCTTGGGTTCCATCAGTGAATCGTATGGTTTGGAGTAATCACAGATCTGTTTCCTAAACCCTTCTCCACTGGCTCTGTGCCCTTGAAGCCCACATCCCCTCCTACGTGTGTACAGATCCTGTCCCATTTGGGGTCAAAAGGCCCGAGTGAGAGCTCTCCAGAATCATCTGAGCTCTGACCGTTACCAAACACGATGGAAATGGTGTTTTTAAAACATGGATTTCCACACAACAGGAGGAGTCTAGAAAAACAAACACATTTAAAGACAGGCAAAAGTAAAGGCGAGGAAAACAAACTCTTCTTTGTTTAAGTGAATGTTAGTAACTATGATCTTTTTTTACAGAGTTCTCTGCAGTTTGCATCTAACTAGCTTAATGCCTCCTCCAGGCCCAGGTGGTAGTAAGGGCATGGATGGTGGCACTGCAGCCTCTTGGTGCTCTCTGCCTGGTCCTGCTTGTCCCAGTGCGCTCTGCACTGGTCATGCAGGCCAGTGCATGGCTTCAATCCTGTGCCCTATTTGGGTTTAGAGTTTGTAGCCTGCAGGCCTTCAGAGATCAGTGCACCGAGTGTGTGCTGGCTGGAGGCTGCCATCCTTATGGCTGTCATCCATCTGTCTGTCTTTCTACAAATATTTCAGAAATGTACGGAGACCTGCATGGAAGCTATTCACAGACGGGAATATACCATCAATGGGATGCTGTAACAGGTAGTACTGATTGCTCCTGTTTTCACAGACTTCTGAAAGTTTCTTTCCAAAGCTCTGCCATCGATTCATAACTGGGCAGTTAAAGAATGAGTTCAAGTCGGGCATTACTGCTCACACCCGTCATCCTGATGCCTTGGGGGGCTGAAGCAGGAGAATCACAAGCTGGAGCCCAACCTGGGTAACTTAGCAAGATCTGCCTCAGTATAAAAAAATAGTAAAAAGAAGGGTGGGGATGTAGCTTAGTATGGAGGCACTGGGTTCCCTAGTACTGTAAGTTAAAAAATTAATAAAATATAAACAAAATATAAATAAAGAGTTCAGTATCAATAGTCAGATGAATGTCATATATACATCTTGTCCCCCATTCAACATTTTATGATTGAAATCAAACTAAAATGTTTTGTTATTAGTGAAGTTATTGGTGAAGTTGACTTAATTAACTCTTCCAACCATCATGTGCTGTAATTCGTTCTTGATTGTGAGACTCCCAGCCAAAGCACGCACATTCCACAGCATGCCCTCACAGGTCTGTTTTCTTGCTTTTCTTGCTGGGTCTCTGCTTCTAGAATAACATTCATATAGAGTTTTGTTTAAACACAACATACATATGCTTCAGAAACCTCTAACACTATTGTAAACAGGCATTTGCTCTATAAGATTGAGATTTAAAATAAACACAAGTAAAAAACTGTGTTCTAGATGTTGTATGCGAACAAAGGCCACAGATGATTTTTGTAACATTGCACGGCTTCTATCTACATATAAAGCCTTTGATAGTTTTTACACGGGAGCCATGATATGTCTATGGTTTAATGGGTCCGTAGTTCAGTTTTAAGTTTCAGTGTTATTTATGAAATGGAAATGACAGAGGAGTTTTCTGAACATTTTAAAGTGCACTTGTGATTTAAGTGATCACTTTTGACATCAGTAAAGTGGTGACTTTCCCATATAAAGTGTACATTCAGATATTAGTTCTCATTGTGTGCTTAATCTGTTAATCTGGTAAGATTATAAGACACCTTAATAAATGTGTGTTTCTGGTGTCTGTTACCTTCTAGGTTAGATGTTGTGTTTCCTAAATAATATGGGTTTTAAATTTATATCTATTCATGATTTACACATTCTCATTATCCCATACAATTTCTATTGCTTGCAAATGTTGACACTTCAATTTGAAGCGTTTGTCTCATTCTTGGCTTTTTTTTTTTTTTCTGAAGGAGTAATGTGATAGTTCTTATGAACCCACTATTTTGATGTTAAAAAAAACTCACCATAAATGATGTAACTGTTGTCCTGAGGATCTTTTCTCGGATCTGAAAGTTGTTCTACCTGAAGGTGGTAGAAAGATGAGATTATTATCCTACTGGTGATGCAAGACAAAACTGAAGTTGATAGATGAATAATAAATAGAAAGGAAATTCCCTGTTCACTTTGACTGTTTCAAAAGGAAGAGCTTGGTTCTCTGCTGAAAAATTGGTGGAGGTCTGTAAAGGGAGAGAGCTGTGGTCAGTAAATACTTCAGGAGATTTGTCTTCTCTTTTCACTTTTGGTCACTTCCTGGCCAAGCCAGCGTCCATCCCATAGGTGTTAACTATGTCTTTGGTCCCCTGACTGAGGGGAACATGGTTCTGAATTGTGTGCAAAGTTTGAAATTCTTTGCTGCTCCATCTTCCATGAGCTCTTGATTTCTTGACCCTCTCGGTGTTGAATCCTTGTGCCTAATTCTCCTCAGAAACGGGCAGACAGTTTGCACCACATTCCCCCCTTTAGGTGTTCAACTCCTCTTTTCCTGGCCACGTAGCATTTTCTGGCACATGACAGAGGGTGGAAGGGACTGTGAGATAAAATGGGGTGACATTATAGGGTTCTGTTTAGGAACATGCGTGGGTTTGGGGATCTGAAAGTCGGATTGAGTTGTGGTACTGCCAAGGATTGTTGATGAGGGTGTGGGCGGTTAGCTTCTCAGTGCCTCAGTTTCCTCATCTGTTAGCAGGATGATAATTAGACCTCCTTCCCAGGGCCCATCTTGGGAGGATGAAATCCCACAATGCCTGCACTGTGCAGTAAGCACATACCGTGCAAGAGCTCTGCAGTGACCAGTGTTGGGATTAAAACAAAGCATGCTGATGAGTTTCAATGTTATGAATCCCAAAACAAAAGGATTGTGTTTTCTTGAAAATACACATAGGTTTTCAAATTAAGGGAAAAATGTTTGGCAAAAATAATGATGGATTTGTTGGACTCAGATGTTTGAAAAATAGTTCAAGATGTTTCACAAATCCCAAATGTGACCAAACTTGCTCATCTTAAAGGAAGACAGACTTGAAAAAACCCAAAGTTTCTGTACCCTTCATCTAAATGCCTCCTTAAATCAGAAAATAAGGAGGGATAATTTTAAGAAAATGTATTTAGATTTCTTTGGCCTTGAAAACTAACATTGTGCTGATTATATGTTGTGGATTGGAAACAGCTTATATACATCTTCCCTTTTCTTGATTTTTTTTTTTTTTCACCATTTCCGTTCAGGTTTTGTTGCCCATTTGAGTGGTTGGTGCTGTGTCAGAGTTAGATTTTATTTTATGTTTTAAAGAGTTTCATCTTTTAAAACCAACTCACTCCTGATGAATAACCTGATTCACATAGTAACTCCAGCTGTCTTGGGATCTGGACTCCTGGACCTTCGACCCCTGGCTACCACTGTGCTCTTTATTTTGGTTAAGTATATCACCTTTCCTATGGTCATCCAGGCTTGAAACCACAGTGTCACCTCTGACCCCTTCCTCTCATGCTTCCTGTGTCCTGCTGGTTTTGAGGTCCTCCTAGATTTTCCTCTGTAATTACGTACCCATGTGCCCCTCCACCCCCAGAATAGCAGTATACCAAGTCCTCACTCCTTGGAGCCTAGACCATGAGAGTGGCCTTCTCTCCTCTCCTCTTGCTCTTGGCTTTTTCTCTTCTCATGCACTGCATGTGCTTCTACCAAATTAATGTCATTATAAATCTAGCGATGCCACATTCCTGCTCTAGGATCTTCAGTGACTCCTAGCTTCCTAAAGATGAAGGCTCAAAGCCTTTCACTTTCACTTAACATTTAAATGTCTTCTGAAATCTGACTTCAGTCTGACTTTCCAACTTGATATGATACTCTTTTGTCCCATCCTATAAATGGGAAGGTTCTTTACTTTTGTGCCTTGTTCTTCTATAAAGTGACTATTTTGCTAATATCATTGTGTGTTTCTGTGCTTTTCAAATGTCTGTCTGTCTCTCTCTCCATATGGTCTCATATCCTTTTTGGGAACTACCTAGTAAAACTTGATTTTATTTAATTTTGTTTTTTAAATTGCTATAATTAATAAACTTTGTACTATAGAGAAGTTCTAGATTGATAGGAATATTGAGCTGCAAGTTCAGTGTTCCTCCTCCCGTTTTTGCTCTTCCTAACTTTAGCCAGCATGGGCATCTTGCTGTTAACTCAAGTTCACACAAGGCCACTCTGTGTCACACAGGTCTGTGGATTGGGGCAAATGGGTAATGCCACATCCACCATTGAACTGTCCTATAGAATAGTGTCGCTGCCCTTAGAATCCCCTGTGCTGAACCTATTTATCTTTTCTACCTCTCATATCAGTTAATTTTTATGTTTTCATTGAACTTGAGAATTGCACCTGGTTTACTTACCATCCCCTCTATATCTTGCCCCACTTCTGTGCAGCATCTGTGGAATCAGTCTACAAAGTCCAACCCAGACCTGCCTGACTTGGGGACAGTGTGACGGGCCACATATAACATAGTACCCAGTAGTGTGTAGCCGGAAGCCAGGGTTTGAATGCTAGCCTTGCCAAGAAATTGTTGTGTGATCTTCGGCTAATTATTAACCTCTCTGTCTCTGGCACCCTGAGTCCCCGAACATGTTAGCTATTGTTAATTACAGTGACAGGCTCTTCTGGATATAGTTTGACAGGATGTAATTCATTGATATGTTTCACTCCCCTCCTTTTAGCATAGCATCATGTGTTTTTAATCTCCAAATGGATAAACTTTAATCTGATGGAGAGAAGTAGAAGATATTCACTAACAGAAATCCTGACACATGGTGATCAGGTCAGTAGATGATAGAAACTGGGAGGGATCAGGGCTCCGTACCTCACATCACTGGGCCTGGAGTTGGTACAAGTTCAGATTTAACAAGTCAAATGATTTTTGGGTTCACTTCTCATTCATAGGCACTGAAATCATCAGTTGAGCTCTAACTTTGTATGAGGTGCTTATTTAAAGGCAAGGCTTGGTCCATCCCTTGCATAGAGCTATTGGATTTCTCCTCCAAAAGAACAGTTTCTGGTGCTCAGGTAAATCAGGATTAAATATTGCTTCCGTTTTGCCGCAGTTCTGTAAAATGGGGAGTGGAAAGAAGGCGCCCTGTGTTGTGTTCTGTTGCAAAAAGTTGCTGGGCCCCTTTGATTACTCATGATCCAGTGGTTGGGGTATTTCCAATGTCCAGAGACAAACTGATCAGAATCAGAGACAGCCACTGTGTAGTGGAAGCTCGAGGGACGAAACTGGTAATGGCAGAAAAATCTCCTTCTGGGGAAGAAGTGTCTGGGGCTTTCCCTCCCTTGACACTCTGACCCCCATTGCTTCTCCAGGCAGCCTCAGGAGACCGGGTCTTTGGCAAAAGTGAAAGACCTCCCCGTATTTTATGTACATGGAAATATTTGCAGATCCATCTGCTTTAGTTTACTTTTATTTAAACAATTTGCATACAGTAAAATTCACTCTCAGTGGTGTGCAGTTCTATGAGTTCTGACAGATCCGTAAGGTCATGTAGTCACCAACACAGCCCAGACAGAACAGTGCCAGCACGCCCCAAAATTCCAACAAAGCTTTGTGCTTCAAATGCAGCTTAGCACTCAGAGTGCATCGTGAGCCACTCTAGTGATAATAGAAAGCGAAGAAACTACAGTAGCTGCTTGACGTGATATTTATTTCAGGCTTTCAAAAAA